GATAATTCCATGCCTGAGTTGAAGCCAGTAGAATTCAGCTGCACTGTAGCATGCTGTGGCGATGATAAATGCTCCATGTGTTCAAGAAACCACCAAGCGTGCGAGGTTGACGTAGCAGCCATGTACCGGTCCGTATACCATAGTAACGGTGGCGTGCCACTGCAAAGAGAGTTGTTGCCAAGTGATTGTAGTAGGGTAATGCCACCATGCTCATCGGTAGAGCATCAGTCCAAGGTCCTGGTCGATGAGATATGTACGCTCAACCCATTTGACTCCTCTTCCATTTCCAATAGGTTGTTGGTGACAATGTCGGTGACTCCAGTATGCCTCATACATGTCCAGTTTAGCATGGATTCCATCAATTGGCCTCGGTATCGGGATGCATGTATAGGTTTAGGTCCACAGGTATCCGTTGATGCTGTAACAACAACTTCGATAACGATGATGTCGTTTCAGCTACTCAACATCGATGTTGAATCTGCTCCAGTTCTGCTTGTAGAGGTGCCATTGGAGTAACGCGGATTCCTCTTTTCATAGCGGCCTCGGCGCTCTGGATCACGCCTATCAGTTTCCATGGAGGTGATGCTGGTGATGGATTTGTTGGTGACGCAGGTTTGATGACTCAATTGAAGTTATTGGGCCATAAGGACTCGAAGATTTTCATAGTCCTCCCATCCTCATAAGAGTCTCTCTTCTCTGAGCTCTTGAGGGCATGTGGCATAGCCACGTTCGTCCAGGGCGTAGTGATATCTCCATCCCCACAAGTTGGAAATCGTAGATGTAGTGCCACACCGGGTCTTGTAATCATACTGGAAGAAGTTCTAGTGTCATCTCAATTATTTGGAGGAATATCCATCAGGATTGGGTGTTGCTTTAGTTGTCTGCTACGGCGGTGGCGGCGGCGGTAGACACTCGCGGCGGCGGCTGCTGCAGAGGATGCTCGTAACTTGTAACGGTTCGAAGAAGAATCCATCCACTCCCTCTTCCGTGTAACGGTCCTGATGGGCATAACAGTTGTAACTACCAAGGAACATGTGTGTCTTGATGCACAGGTGTCACTCCATTGCTGCCGGTGATTCGGTCGCTCAAGGGTATGAAGATTACTTGCTTCTCCCCTTATTGTCTCCACGAGTAGCAATTGCCTGGTATGCTCATCCGTGCTCCCGATGTACGGTCGGTAGAGCGCATAATTGTCTTGTTGCAATCTGCATCTCCCTCATTGATCAACACCATCGCGTTGCTGGGCGTTCTTCAGCGTCGTCAAGGTTATGTCTAGGCTTGTAACACTTTGGCATCTGGTTGAATCGCCTCCAATACATATACCGTACGGTCGCAGGTGTGCGAATGATTGCCGGATTCGAGGTCATGACTCCTCGGTCTGTCAACCCTCGTGCCTTTGTGTGATGGCATAAACACCTGGAATTGCGGTCACATGATTGGGATGTCGTCTCTTGAGGTTGATGTCAAACTGCTCCAACCAATTACTGCGGACGGCTGAGATTCGTAGTGGTGATAAATCGATAAGCTCCTGTTACGAAGTATGTCTCGCTGTCCCTGACGAGACGTAGTAACTGCATCGTAGTTGCATGCGCAATCTGGTCATTTGCATCAACGTTGGTGAGGATTTTGCAAGAGAAAACTGCTACTTCTTTGCAATCCTTTATGCGCCCAATTGTCAAGGTATTTCTTATCATCGATGTGGAACGATAGTTTTATGCGAGCCGGTGTAGTTGTTGGAGATGTTCGGTTGAATTGTTAGTGTACCACCAAAATATGCTTCTTTGGTGAAGTACGAAATTATGTGTCGCTAGACATAGATAATGACTCCCATACGTTTCTCTGCTCCATTTTTGCCGTCCATTCGTCGACGATCTGATGATCTGCGTGCTGCGACAGCATTTCCGCCAATCGATGTTACCAAATGGGTGTCTGCTGCAAAAGATTTCGAGCTTGAGAAGTTTTGTTGCTGTAATTCCTGACGTGATGAGGAGATACGAATTTCTGAGAGCTGGAAATTTCGGAAGTCCAGTTATCAAAGTTGATATTGGAGTACAGCATATCTGCTTCTGGTCGTCAAGTTCTTGTACTGAAGAAACTCGCGCTCCATCTGGTCCGCTGGTTCAATGTTGATCCAACGGTCAAAACACCAAGCGTTATAAAAAGATTATGGAGGCTTGTTCAGCTGTGTCGAATGCCGAGCTCCACTCGTTTTCTCTGGCAATTTGCAGACGTCGATGCCCGTTGTCGAATGATCGGATGCGTGCGAACAATCTGCTTTTATCGAGGTGCCGTTTCCAAAAGCGCTGAAACTCGAACTCTATCAGCTGAGGTTCGTTTTGCCTCGGACAATCCGAAGCGTCGAAGTTGAATCGAATGGCTGTCGTAGATCGTCACTGGCGCAACACCGAGATTCGTGGCGAAGTTGGAAATTCTTGGAAAACGCCAAAGGGTAGGTTCCACCAGCTACCGTTGATCGCTTCGGAGGGCAGAAAATACTCGTGATTGTAATGCAGGTACTTCAGGGACCTCTTTGAATTGGCGAGGGCCGCTGACGTATGCCCCCCCAAAAAATCAGCTCCGTCGATGTTGAAAATCGAACGATTGGCGAGGCTACTCGCCATACATGGGGACCCTAGGCGCAACCGCTCGAGGTTAATCGGAACTTAGTAAAAAAAATCGATTTACTTAAGCGATCGAAAGTTCGACTCCATCCTCGGCGTGCTCCTAGAGGCCTAGCAGGAAAGCGCTGATCGGAAACCTTAGTCTCTGATACCAAGTGTCACATATCCAGGATTTAGCGGAAGCTTGAATGAATGACTAATCAAGAATTGAATGTCTACAAGCAAAGGGTCAATGCTATTATACCTACGAGAACTCTAGGGAAGGGTAACTAGGACCTTCTAAGAGAGTTCGAGAACGGAGTGGAACCGTCCGTAGGAACATCACCTAGAAGCACGGTCGGGATTATAGAGATACGGTGATGGTGACGGAACATCCACGCAATATAAAACGTGTCGCGCAAGGAAAGTCCTGAACACTCTAACACAAATGATATATAATATATCAATGTGTAGGAAAAAGTGTAGGGATTTCTAGGAAAGGAAAAACACACAAATTTACACACAACAAATAGCAAATGGCAAATGGTTGTGATCAAGGATTCGGCAAGCCTCATCCTCTCACACTTGGTGAACATCTTAGCAGTGTTGGCCTTTGAGGCCAATTGTGGCACACCAGCCTGACCGCACTGCTGCAACTCACGCAGCACGAAGTACCGCAACTGGATGTGCTTCGCCCTGCCCTCAAGTTGAGCCTTCTGATACAGGAGGATCATGGCCCTGTTGTCAACAAACAGGACCGGGGCAGATCTAGGCTGCTCACCTAAGTTTGTGAGCAAGAACGTCAGCCAGCAGATCCCCTGAGCGGCCATGGCCCCAGCGTAGATCTTTGCCTTACAACTGGACTGAGCTACAGACAATGACTTGGTGGACCTCTACGAGACTGCACCCGCACCAAGACTAAAACACTAGCCTTGAGATGACCTGAGCATCTCTACGTCGTCAGCCCACAACGCGTCTGTGTGTCCAGTGAGCACCACGGCCTCCCGTCCTCCTAGCACAAGCCCCTATCGTGATATACTCGCCAGATACTGTAGTACCCTCTTGGCAGCCGACCAGTGAACTGGTCGGTGCCTGCCTGTCGCAAAAAAGCAAGCAAGGAGACTGAGAGGGTACGCTAGATCTGGTCGAGTGCAGGTCATCAGGTACATGAGGCACCCCGCCAGCTCTGCATATGGACCACTAGCCTTGACCGGCTCAACTAGAACAGGAGCAGAGAGCTTGTGATCCACAGGCAGAGGGGTGGGCTGTGTTGAGGAAAACTGGAGATTAAACCTATGGAGGATCTGCTGCACCATATGGGACAGGGCGAGTGTGATCGTGCGAGCGACACGGTCACAAGAGATCTCCAAGCCCAGGTAGCGCCTCGGCTCCCCCAAGTCTGTAGGTGTGTCTCCTAAGCAACTCGGCCTCCACTGAGGCCGGTGCGACTCTGTCAAGAGTAGACAAAGAGACGGGTCAGCAGAGGACAGAAAGAACTGCAGCTTAGCAAGAGTGTTGCAAAGCATGTCATGCCACTCATGGGGTGCCTCACGAAGGTCGTAGACAGGACAGTGCAGGCTCCACTCAGTCCCAAGTGGGAAGGACTCAGAGAAGCCTAGACAGCGCTAGAGGTAGATCTCCTCGTGTTGAATACCTTGCAAGAATGCTGTAGAGAAGTCGAGTGAGTGAAGCTCGTAATCACGCTGCGCGGCTATGTGAAGAAGGACCCAAAATGTAGTCATCTTCGGGGTCGGGGAGAAGGTTTGAAAGAATTCCACACCCTCACGCTGGAGGAAGCCTCTAGCCATGTAGCGCACCTTGAACTTTGGCGGCTCTCGAGGTGCGTGCTTCACCCTGTAGATCCACATACCATCGACTACGTTCACCCTAGGCGGGGAACTGCGTCGATGTAAGTGCACGTGGATCTGTAGGATGCCATCTCAGCCTCCATGGCCTGTACCCACTGGGCTGCCCAATGCCCGGACACCGCCTCAGCGTAAGAGCGTGGAACAGGGATGTCGAGAGCATCTGGGTCGCCCTCTGGGGATTCAAGCATGATGCAGAGATGAGGAACAGTGGCAGCAAGGTTGGCGAACTCGTACTGCCTATCCTCTAGCACGTCACTGCCAAGGGCAGGTGCACCCCCAATGGACAGAGGATGGGCAGTACCAGAGATAAGAGCGGCAGCGTAGTCGAGGCGGTGGCTAGCAGCAAAGTCAGCGACAGCAGCGACAAGCGCAGAGACAGACTCAGGATGTGCAGTAGGGTCAGTGACAAGCGACGCAAGCAGATGCGAGAGGGTAGGATGAGCAGTGCGAGCAGCGTCGGAGAGAGGAGGGGGGGAACGACAGGAGCGACGACGGGGGAGGCAATGGGAGGACTGTGACCGGAGGAGCACGCGAACTAAGTACCATAGGGTGGACACTAGGACGCTGATAGACAGAACGAGCACCAGAGGGGTGAGGGACCCAGTGGGGAAGACCTGGGGACTGGGGATCAGCGGGAACAGGGGACAAGTCAGGGGACGGAGGGGAGCGCGGGGGAAAACGAGCCGGAGAGGAGCCCGGAGAAGGGAACAACGGGCCATAAACAGGGTCACGCACTGGAGGGGGAATGGGTGGGCGGACAGCAGAAGCTGGAGCAAGACCAAGGAGATGAAGGGCAGACCGCGGCTACTCCTGTTGAGGCAGCTGCGCCTGCTATTGCTGCGGCTGCAATTGCTCCCTGTCCTCTCTAGGACCTCCCGTGGCACAACGGCTGCCACCAGCACTCCCCGAAACAGCAACCAAAGGACTATCACCCTTGGACGTACCACCCACAAAACCAGCACCTCCGGAGTCAGCACCCCCAGAACTCGCACCCCTAGAACCAACACCCCCAACACCAACACCTCCAACACCAGCACCCCCAGAACCAGCACCCCCAGAGCCCACTACTCCCTGCTGCTGCTGCTACTGCTGGACAGCTGGACAGGGGAGAGTGGTGATGCTACGGGCGATAGCTGTGGTGGAGGAGTCTACTAGTGCGATGTGGATGGGCACATGAGTTGGGGTGAGAGCATTGCTGTCCCTAAAGAAGCAACAAGATGCGCCCGAGTCAAGGATAAAGGAGAGGGCTGCTGCAGGAGGGCCAAGGGAGGAGCCTAGGGGACACGTGTTAGAGGCTCCTAGAATAGACACAGTGGTGAGACCTAGACCCCCAAAGCCCCCGGTCCTCCAGAGAAACCATACTGGCCCCAGGGCACTGACCGCCCCGGGGCCGCACCTCCAGAGCCCCCACCGCACCCAACACTTCCAAGACCCCACTGCGGTTGCTGCTGCCGCCGCCGCCGCTGCTGCTGCTGCTGCTGCTGCTGCTGCTGCTGCTGCTGCTGCTGCTGCTGCTGCTGCTGCTGCTGCTGCTGCTGCAGTTGCTGCTACTGCGGCTGCTGCAGCTGCGGCACTGGCTAAAGAGCCTAGAAGCAGACGTTGAGGTCGTGGAGCAAGAAGCTTAGGATCTTATTAATGTGATCCTGTAGGAGCGTGCATTTAGGTGCGGGCTCACCAGCTGTAGCCGGTGAGCGAGAAACCAAAGAGCGGAGGGAAGAGCCCGGCGGTCTGGCCGAGGGACAGACCCCAATGAGGCCATCATGCCAAGAGGAGAGGCGACAAAGAACTATAAAAAAACTAGGACGAGACTAGTGGGAGGCACTAGGTGCTACAGGAGCACTAACAGAGGTAGTAGCAGGTGGCGACTGTGGCCGGAGCAATGGCAACGAGCAGGAGGCTAGTAGTAGCAGTGGCTAGCGGTAGGCTGACGGTAGCAGGAGCGAGTGACAGTAAGACGGCAGTGGCGGCCAGCTGGCGGTGGGCTGGAGCTGCTAGGATGAGTAGGGAGAAAACGAGGAGGAAGTACGCGCAAGAGGAGCTACTAGGAGCAGCACACCGAGGAGCTAGCTAGGAGTCACTAGGACTGGCGGCACATGGCGAATGCCGTTCCACAGGGCACAGGGGACTCACGAGGCTGGTGGCCGACTGACGACTGGTGGCTGGCGGCCGATGGTCGGTGGCTGGCCACGAGTGGTGGCAGCTGGCGGCAGACTGTTGGGGCTCCACGGCAGGTTGCCGGCGGTCGGCTGCTGGCGGCTGGCGACTGGTGCTGGCTGCTGGTGGCCAGGCTGGTGGAGGCTCAAGCTGACGGTTGGCAACAGCAGTGGCGATAGGAGCAGCAGCGGTGGCTGCAGAGGCAGTGGCGGGAGCTGCAGCTGAAAGGGCAGTGGTGGCAGGGGCGGCTGCAAGGGCAGCGGAAACAGCGGCAGCTACAAGGGCAGTGGCGGCAGTGGCGGAAGTGGCAGCTGCAAGGGCAGCGGCAGCAGCAGCGGCTGCAAGGGCAGTGGCTGCAGTGGCAGCTGCAAGGGCAGCGGCGGCAGTGGCAGCTGTGAGGGCATCGGTGGCAGCGGCAGCTGCATGGGCAGTGGTGGCAGTGGCGGCTGCAGCTGGCGGCTGAAGTGGCAGAGGCGGCAGCAACAGTGGCGGCTGCAGCGGCAGAGACGGCAGCGGCAGTGGCTGCAGTAGCTGCGGCATTGGCAGCGGCGGCAGCACAAGCTACGGTAGCGGCGGCCGCAGTAGCGGCAGTGGCAGCGGCGGCAGCACAAGTGGCAGCAGCGGCAGTGGCGGCCGTAGCTGCAGCAGTGGTAGCGGCGGTAGTGGCTGCAGTGGCAACTGCAAGGGCAGTGGCTGCAGCTAGCGGCTGCAGCGGCAGAGATGGCAGCGGCAGTGGCTGCAGTACGTCACAAAAATGTGGATCTCTCCTATATTGTAGGTATAGTTGTTCGTATAGCAAGGCTACTCCTTAACAGACGTACCTATGCCATACCTACTGTATACCTACTCCGTATTGATGATCCTGGTATTTTGGGACGTAGCTGCGGCAGTGGCAACGGCTGTAGCAGCAGTAGCAATGGCAGCAGCAGCAGCAGTGGTTTCAGCGGCAGTGGCGACTGAAGGGGCGGCGGCTGTCTGGCGACTAGCTGGCGGACGCTGCTGGCAGCTAGCTGGCTGGCGCTGCTGGCGAGTAGCTGGCAGCAGCTGCTGGCGACAAGCTGGCGGATGGTGCTGGTGGCTAGCTGGCTGGTGCTGCTGTCGAGTAGCTGGCACCAGTTGCTGGCGGCGAGCTGGTGGACACTGCTGGCGGCTAGCTGGCTGGTGCTGCTGGCGAGTGGCTGGCAGCAGCTGCTGGCGGCGAGCAGGCGGACGCTGCTGGCGGCTAGCTGGCTGGCGCTGCTGGCGAGGAGCTGGCAGCAGTTGCTGGTGGCACGCTGGCTAACATGGCTCGTGAGCTAGCTGGCTAACGTGCTGGCTAGCTGGCTGGCGCGAAGGCTGGCGTGCTGTCTAGCGCGCTGCAAGCGGGCTGGCTAGTGTGCTGGTCTGCTGGCTGCCGTACGAAACAGTGCAAGGGGAGTCGAGGTTATGGAGCGCGAAATCGGAGGTCAGGAGGTGCGCGAAATTCAGAGGGGCACACACGCAAAAGAAAGAAAGAAAGAAAGAAAGAAAAATGCTGAAACGCGGAAGCGTGAGTAACGGTGGAAGCGTGAGTAACGGCGGAAGTGTGAGTAACAGCTGAAAAACATAACCTAGCTCAATACCATGTTAGAGTGGCGGGAAAAGTATGACTAAGGGAAAACGTGAGGGATACAAAACTAGGGTTGTACTTGCTAGGAATTAAACTAGCTAGGCTATAAACGAATATGACATAACTAATGTACATGAAAATATATTTGTTGACAATAACCACTCTGAGGTAGCTCAAAAAGTATTTCCTTTTAGTCTGAGTGACAATGTCCTCGAAAGCCCAACTGTGAGCAACTAGGGGAATTCAGAGTCGAGTGGCAGCCAAAACTGGCCATTCAGAGTCGTGCAACGTGTTTCAGACTATGCATGAATTGCACTCGTGCATGTCACTTAACATATATGGCTCTCTGCTCGTCAAACAAGTAGAATGTGACATTGCCTACCATACTATGCCTAACTTCAAGCTACACAGGTGGACTACACACTAACTAGAATTCCGGCTTATCAATGTTTATCTCGTCTTTGACCCCATCCTCAGAAAAGATTGGGTTGTCTTCAATGAGTTCAGCGTCAAGCATGGCAAAGTCCTCAGCAGCTACTCTTGCATTGTCTTCAGACATCACCTTTGGCTCTGGATCGATAGTTGCAATACCTTCTTCTAGCGACTCTGGAACTCCTAAAAGAACTACTTCAGCGAATGACAACTCTTGAAGATGGACTCCAATCCCTCAAGATTGACGGCTCGAGCACCGCTCGCCAACTCGCTGAACCACAACCAGATTCTGCAGGCAAGGACTTCACACCTGGATTCTTTAAATACAGTGGCGGATTAAATTGTCCACATGTTCAGCCTTTTTGGCATTTTGATGAGTGCAGCGGCGTAAACATTAAGCCTTAATGTATGGTGTGCATACACGCTGAGAAGATCAGTTAGAGCACTTACTCGAGTTGCCAAACACCAAAGTAGTACCACACATGGTCCTTAAACACCTAAGCATAGCATAGGATAACATCCGGACAATTTGTACCGAATTCAGGTAGCATACTAGATTCTACAGAAACTAGTACCTAGTCCAGCGTCCCTTTGCCCGAATCACTGCCTTGATCCTCCTCGGCAGGCTGTCGATCAGGTTTGCACACACCTCCGCCGATATCTTGTCCCATTCCTCCTGCACCCTCTCCCACAGCTCCAGCATTCCCCTTGGCGGCTTTTCGTACTTCCCTAGCTGCCTTTTCACGTGTGCCCACAGGTGCTCAATCGGGTTAAGGTCCGGGGAGCACGACGGCCATTCCAGCACCACGTACTCCTGCTCCCCAAGCCAGTCTTGGACCAGACGAGACCTGTGCTTGGGATCATTGTCGTGCTGGAAAATGACCTATGAGGGGGAAAGCTTGAAAAAATCGATGGTCTGTTTGAGCTCATCTTGCAAGATGCTGCGATACAGCGGCCCATCCATCCTGCCATCTATCTTGCACATGAACCCCGCCCCCTCATACGTCATGCAACCCCACACCATCACAGAACCGCCCCCATGCTTAACTGTCTGTTGGACTTGATGGCTCCGAAGGCTGGTGCCCTCGCGAATCCAGGCGTACGCACGCCCGTCGGAGCAGTAGCGGTTTATCTTTGTCTCGTCAGACCAAATCACCCGCTTCCAGTCCTCCAGCGTCCAGTCGGCATGCGACTGCGCGAAGTCGAGACGATCTCGGATGTTTTTCAGTGAGAGCCTGGGTTTCTTGGGCTGATGCACGGCGATCAGCCCCACGGATCGTAATGAGTTCCGGACCGTCTTTGAGTCTACAGCGAGACCGTGCTTCTCCAACAACATATTTGCCGCTTCTACAGAGCTTTTCGCCTCGCCGCTTGTAATCGCGCGTATTATTCCGCGCTGGAGACGGGTAGTGATTAAGCGGGGGCGGCCGGCCGAAGGCATCGTAGGTCGCACCTCCTCGAGACTAGTCTCGGCAGCCACTTTCAAACTGTAATCGTGCACGGTGCTCTTGCCTATTCCAAGAACTTTGCCTATTTTCCTAGTCGAATGCCCCGCACGCAACATGCTTATGATTCGCGCGCGCTTCCGCTCAGTTAACGGCTTCATGGCGATGCGGTCGTAGGCTCGCTTCCGGACTAACTCCTAAGCCAACAACTGTTGCGCGTGACGATGTACACACTGAGTGACGGGGGAAAATAGATCTACTCTTCCGCTCGGTTGGAAATGTCCGCATCGATAGTCGAGGAGTAAATTTCAACCCCACTTTCAGGTTGTGTCACAATCGCGCCAAGCAAGAAACGGTTGAAGCAGAACTCGGAAACCTTGTAACGGAATGGCAAAAAACGGGTGTTACTATTGTCGAAACATGTGTGGCATAACGATACGTTTCAAAGTGTTAAACATCCGGGCAATTTAATCCGCCACTATAGAATCACCCTGCGTATAGCCACGCGAGGCTATTGGCTTTGAGGGATTACGGCAGAATTACGCTAGATATAGCGAGCCAGTACATCTCGAGCCTGGTCAGTGATATAATTATAATAATAGGATAACCCAAAGGATAGTGAGAAATGAGGAATAGGAAGCCAAATGGGATGAGATAAAGATAAAAAAATTCAGGAGAAAATGAAGAATAAGATTGAGGACAAAGCTGGAAATGAGAAGAAGTGTAACGGGGTCGTATTCTCACACTTCTCCCCCTCAAAGCTGGGTGCTAAATATAACACCCTGCTTGACAAGGTAGTCGCGAAGAGGACGATGAGCATTACCCATCGCAGATTTAGGAACCCAACTATTCTCAAAAGGATCATAACCCTTCCAATGAATGAGAAGCTCCACAACGCCATTCCGACGACGACTGTGTGCGAGCACGGACTCGACCTCGTACTCAGGTTCATCGTGGACGAGGACGAGCACAGTGGCGGCGGCGGCGGGTGGCGTCTGTTGAAGACCGTGTTAGGATCTTGATATGGCTTCAGAAGTTGGACATGGAAGGCATTGTGAATCTTCCAGGTAGCTGGTAGGCGTAAGCGGAAGGTAACAGGAGTGACCTGTGCTTCGGCAAGGTCGTAGTTTTGATGGAAGATGACCGATGTCGAGATTGCGGGTGTCGAGGAGAACCTGGTCTCCCACGGTGATGGTGTGGTCAGTGCAGTGGCGATCGGCATGGCGCTTTTGTTGCTACTGAATTTCGAGGAGGCGCTTGTGGGTCCGATCCCAAAGTTGGTGCATGGTCGTAATGAAGTCGTGTGCGGGTTGGACTGTGGCAAATATTGTCAGGTTTTGTGGCGTGAGCGGGTGGCATCCGTAGCAGAGGAAGAACGGCACGTGTCCAGTAGTGGTGTGAGTGGCGTTGTTGTAGGTAAACTCCAGGATGGGCAGATGTAAGTCCCATTTAGAGATTTCGTCTTTGCATGCTATGCGGAGGAGTTGTTCTACAATTTGGTTGAGGCGTTCGGTCTGTCCATCTATCTGCGGATGCTAGGCGGATGACATGGCGAGTTTGGTCCCAAGCAGAGACATCAGTTCGTTCGTGGACTTGCTGGTGAACTTGGGGTCTCGGTCGGAGATAAGTGTGGTTGGAATACCATGTTGCGAGATGATGGAGCGAACGAATAGTTGTGCTGTCTCTACGGTGCGTGCTGTATGAAGTGTCCCATTTTGGAAAATTTGTCGATGACGACGAGGATTGCGTCATGACCACTCGTGGTAGTTGGTAACCCAGTTATGAATCCAGGCCATGGTTGTTCTGGGATAGGAAGAGGTTGTAGCAGTCCTGCATTTTTGTGCTTGCTGCTCTTCATCCGTTGGCATGTAGCACACGAGGTGACGAATTTCTGGACGTCATCTGCCGTGTGGGGCCAGTAGTAGTGCTTTGCAATACCGATGAGCGTCTTGTTGCTACCGAAGTATCCCGCGTATAGGACGTCGTAGTATTCTTCGAGTAGTAACTGGCGCAAAGGAAGGTAATTTGTTACCCAGATTTTCGTGGATCCCTTCCGGTACGCGATGTCACTGTCCCACTGTAGCATGTGTCGTTTTGCTGCCAAAGGGATTTCGGGGTTGATGGCGTACCCGTGTGTGAAGAGTCCTTTGAGTAGTGGATTCAACCTTTCAACCTGGATTGCGGCAATGTGTGCAGGCCGACTGAGAGCGTCTGCTTTGTATTTGTGGCCGGGCTTGTACACCATGTCGTAGTGGAAGTGTGTCTCAAGGAAGTCAATCCACCAGACCTGCCACCTGGAGAGGGTTGGTTGTGTCTTCAAATATTTCAGGCTGCAGTGGTCGGTGTAGACGGTTGTTTTTCGTCCTTCGAGATCACATCTCCACGTTTTGAAGGCCATGATAATAGAAAAGGGCCTCCTTCTCGTGTATCACGTAGCCCCGTGTAGCTTTTTGCTGAGGTAGGCTATGGATTACAGTCCATTCCCTTGGTCTTGCATCAAGACTGCTCCCACTGCCTGGTCACTAGCGTCACCTTCGATGACGTAGTCGCGTTCGGGGTTTGGCAAGATGAGTACGGGTGTGGACGTGAGTGTTTGTTTCAGCTGCTCCATGGCTTCCTGATGTTTTGATTCCCACTTATAGGGCGTGTTCTTCTTCAGCAGATTTGTGAGCGGTGTTGCGATTTTCGCGTACTGTGGCACGAACCTGTCGTAATAGTTAGCGAAGCCTAGGAACTGATACAACTGCTTCACATTCTTGGGTATCTTCTGCGTGTGTACGGCTTTGATCTTCTTGGGGTCGACGTGAACTCCTTGAGCGCTCACCATGTGTCCGAGGAATTGGACGTTCTCGAGGGCAAATTCGCTCGTGGATAATTTGACGTAGAATCCTTCTCGTCGAAGAATATCAAAGACGCGTCGCAGGTGTTGGATGTGTTGCTGCATGTCGCGCGAGTAGATGAGGATGTCGTCCAGGTACATCACCACGCATTCGTCCAGGAGTGGGCATAGTATGTGGTTCATTTCGGCTTGGAATGTTGCCGGTGCGTTGGTGAGTCTGAACGGCATTACCAGATACTCGTACGACCCGTACCGAGCTCGGAAGGCAGTTTTGTGGATGGAATTGTCCGCCACTCGTATCTGCCAGTATCCAGACCGCAGATCCAGTTTGGAAAAAACCGTGGCTCCCCGAAGCTGGTCAAGCAGGTCATCGATTCGTGGAATCGGGTATTTGTTTTTTTATTATGGTATGCTTGTCGAGAGCTCGGTAATCGATGCACATGCGCAGGCTTGCGTACGCTTTTGGTGTGAAGAGTACTGGGGCACCATATGGCGAAGTGGATGGTCGGATAAGTCCTCTGGCGAGGAGATACTTGATCTGTTTCTACATGTCGGCTAGCTCTGTAGGGCTAAGCCGATATGGTGCTCGGAAGGTCGGCTTCGAACCTGGTTCTTCCACGATCTCGTGTTGGTGCGTTCGGCATGGCGGCAGCTCGTCTGGGAGGTCGTCGGGAAGAATGTCTTGGAACTCCTTCAGTAATTCCTTGATTTTTTATGGAGGTTCCGAGGCTTTCTCTCCGTCATTCTCCACCTCTGTTGCTATCGCCCGGAACCCGGTGTCCGCTTGCTTTACGTCAATCTCGAATCTTGCGAGTGTCTCCACTGGGATATCTCCTGTATCGTCCCAATTGGGTAGCTGGACTCTCCTTCCGTTGTTGTAGATGCTTGCGCTGCAATTTACCCAGTTGACCTCGGGGTTGAATCTTTTTAGGAAGTCTCGCCCGAAGATCAAGTCAAGCCCTTTTATGTTGGTGATGGGGAGTGCAGGTTTCCAGTGCAGTGGTTCGATTTGTAGACGCACTGCGTCGCCGTATACTGGTACAGTAACTTGCAGCCGTCCACCATCGTTGCAGAGAATTTTGAAGGCTTGTACTCTTCTCGAAGTTGGTCGATTGTTGATTTGTCGCATACGGTGTGTGATGCTCTGCTGTCCACGAGTGCTCGGAGGCGTCGTCCTTTGTAGATGACCTCGAGCACGAGGGGCAAGCGTTGCTCGGAGTACCCAAAGATGGTCTTGTTGATAGGATCATAGGGTACATCCCAATATTCCGTACACTCCTTTTTGTTGCTATCTACTCCTGAGCTGGCAGCTGGCCGAGGCTGCTTCTCCAGGGCCCGGAGTTTCCTTGACGATTTTGTGTGTCGTTGATGTCGAATTTGCTGAGCTGGATGCATCCGAAGGAGGAGTTCGGGGTTTTTGCAGCTTCTTGTAGACCCCCAGCTTCCTCTTGAGCTGCTTCAGCTCCACCGACGTCTTCCCTGGGGAACGGGTAGTCGTTGTGGGCTGGTGTCTTGAGAGGACATTGACTCCGTGGAAAGGTCGGCTTATTTCCACACTCCTTAGTTTTGTCCCCAAGTTCTCCGATACCGGTATGATCTCTACAATTTCTACTTCTTCTGGAGTCCCTCCCGTAATTTCTCCAAGGCTCTAGCCCCTTGAGAATCATAATTTTTAATTAAAGCATCCTTAAAAGACAACTTTAACGAATTCTTATGATTTTTTTGGGTATTTTCGGAGTTTCCCCGTCTCGGCAGAGTTTTTTTTCGCGGAGTCAGATTTTTTCTCGATGATTTTCCTTGGCGAAGACTGGTCGTGGGGTGGAGAATTTTCCCCATCATTTCCTCCTTCTCGCGTCGAATCAGCTTCGTTGAAGTTGATTTTCCAGGAATCTCACGACCGCTTTCGGATCTTTTCTTTTTTCGCCAGCTAGATCCACAATCACAGGCAAATTCCGTTTTTGTCTTCTGATTGGCCGCAAAATTTCCGCCACTGTTGTGTGCCCGATACTCTGCTCGTGCGGCTTTCATTTTGTTGCAGTCAAAGATTCGATGGCCCGGAACCCCACAGAAATTACACGTGTAGTTGGTGTTTTTCAGACTTGGCTGCCCGTCGAACCTGTTGATTTCCATCGGGTCGGCAAACGTGGTGTGAACCGATCGGTCGCCGTGTCGCGTACTGCCGACGTGCGCCCGTCGTGTTCCGGCGTTGACCATGTCAAACCGCTCCGCTGCCGATATGACGTCACTGTAGTTCGCGTAATTTGTCGCTGCTACCTGTCGTTTGACGTCGGTCTTCAGCCCGGCGAGATACGACTGTACTTTTTCCCCTTCGGTCTGATCAGGAATGCGGTTATAAAATTCCTCCATCTGCTACATGTACTGTGCTACACTCCCAAACTGTCGATGGCGATGATTTTTTTCCCGGGCAAGGAAACCCAAATTTATCTGCTCGAAATGTTTCAGCCATGGCCGGTGCCATGATGGGGAAAATTTTCCCCATCATGAGAATTTTCCCCATCATGATTTTACGCCGGTGCCATGGCGGCACAGGAGCTCCGCTGGCTGACCTTCTTGCTCACTGACTTAGGTGAGCGGCCTAGCTCTGCCCCGGTCCTGTACGCTGACAATAGGGCCATGATTCTCCTGTGTCAGGAGCCTCGACTCGAGGGCAGAGCGAAGCACATCCAGCTGCGGTACTTCCTCCTGCGCGAGCTACAGCAGCGGCGCCAGGCTCGCGTAGTACACTTGGCCTCCGGTGCCAACACAGCTGATATCTTTACGAAGGCGCTTGCGCCTAAAGATCATCAGCGGCACTGTTTACAGCTTGGTCTGGTTCCTGTAGTCTCTCACTTACTCGGGCCTTGACTTTGTACTGTCGTATATATATATATGTATACACTCAGACTGGACTTGTGTCCTCTCACAGTGGTTGGACTAGTAGTGCCGCCCTGTACTCGTTCTTGCCTTGTCTGTACTCCTTCTGACTGGTCTTTTAGACCCTTGTCTCAGAGGCTGGACTAGTAGTGCCACCCTGAGCTACTTGTCTAGAACATTCCCCTATGCAGTCCAGGGGGTGTGTCAAACATGTGTAGTTATCATGTTCGTATAGACTGTATAGGGTCACCTTCTAGAGAGTACAACATTTAGGTATATGTTTGTGTACTCTCTCTCTCACATTATTCAATTCTAGGTTTGATATAAAATGCCCTGATTACCCACTTGCCAATGGCCACTTTTTGGAGTATACCCTGATTTTGGAAGGGTTAAAAGGTGATTTCAGGCCAAATTTGCCACTAGCGCCCTTACAAATCACGGTGAAATCATAAGAATGCCCTAATTTACAAGGGTGCCCCGAAACCAATTCGGATGGCCGACTAGAATTGCTGTTGTGAATTTCGGATGTGTTGGAAATACCTCGAAGACGGAAGCGTTTCTGAAGTATAACACTACACTCAAGGAAAGTCGTCTCGGGTATGCACGAGGAGGTTGAACGAAAGAACACGAAAGGACGAAGGGACTCGAAGGATCGCAACTGGAGGCTGCGATTGACCGTTGCGACTGCAAGGATGGTAACCGAACAGACAATCCAATCGCTGTGCGACTCGATAACTGTATCTTCAACTGTACTTTACCACTGCTTCATTTCTTATTTTCTATATATTGCTGTATGCTTGTTCCTTCTAATCAATCACTTGCTCTCACATACTAGTGCAAGGGTTCAACTACTCAACACTTCCGCTGCACTACTCAAGCACTTCATAACAGAATTGTGAAGTTAATGATAGAGTGAGAGTACACACAAATATACCTAAGTGTTGTACCCTCTAAGAGGTGACCCTATACAGTCTATACAAACATAACAAATACACATGTTTGACACACCCCCTAGACTGCATAGGGGAATGTCCTAAACAAACAGCTCAGGGCGGCACTACTAGTCCAACCTCTGAGACAAGGGTCTGAGAGACCAGTCAGAAGGAGTACAAACAAGGCAAGAACAAGAGCAGGGCGGCACTACTAGTCCAGCCACTGGGAGAGGACACAAGTCCAGTCTGAGTATACGTATAAAGGACAGTACAAAGTCAAGGTCCTAGCAAGTGAGAGGCTACAGGAACTAGACCAAGCTGTACACAGTGCCGCTGATGATCTTTAGGCGCAAGCGCCTTCGTAACGATATCAGCCGTGTTGGCACCTGAGGCCAAGTGTACTACGCGAGCCTGACGTCGCTGCTGTAGCTCATGCAGGAGGCAGTACCGCAGCTGAATGTGCTTCGCTCTGCCCTCGAGTCGAGGCTCCTGACACAGGAGGATCATGGCCCTGTTGTCAGCGAACAGGACCGGGGCAGAGCTAGGTCGCTCACCTAAGTCAGTGAGCAAGAAGGTCAGCCAGCGGAGCTCCTGTGCCGCCATGGCACCGGCGTAGATCTCAGCCTCACAGCTGGACTGTGCAACAGACGAGGAGCGAGTAGCTCTCCACGAGACGGCACCTGAGCCAAGGCTGAAGCAGTAGCCCTGGGTAGACCGGAGTGTCTCAGCGTCGTCTGCCCACGAAGCGTCTGTGTGCCCAGTAAGGACCGCTGGCCTGCGTCCTCCTAGCACTAACCCCATGCCCGATGTACTAGCAAGATAACGCAGAACCCTCTTAGCGGCAGACCAGTGCTGCGGTCGGTGTCTGCCTGTGGCCACAAAGCGAGCCAGGATGCTGAGAGGGTATGCGAGATCTGGGCGAGTGCAAGTCATCAGGTACATGAGGCAACCCACCAGCTCTGCGTAGGGGCCGCTGGGCTCTACCAACTCCTCAGGCACTGGAGCGGAGAGCCTGTGGTCTACAGGCAGAGGGGTGGGCTGTGCAGAGGAGAACTGAAGGCTGAACCTCTGAAGGACCTGGCGCACCAAGTGTGACTGAGTCAGGGTGATGGTGCGCGCAGCTCTGTCCCTGGAGATCTGCAAGCCAAGGTAACGGCGCAGTTCTCCAAGGTCAGTGCAGGTGTGTCTCTTCAGCAGCTCTGCCTTCACGGAGGCCAGCGCGTCCCTGTCTGCTGTGGCAAAGACCAGGTCGTCGACGTAAACGAGGATGTAGAACGGAGTCTGGCCAGCACGAACGAAGAGTGAAGGGTCTGCAGAAGACGGAAAGAACTGCAGGTCAGCAAGCGTAGCACGCAGAGTGTCGTGCCACTCACGGGGAGCCTGGCGCAGGCCGTAGACGGGGCGCCGCAGGAGCCACTGGGTCCCAGGAGGGAAGGTGCCAGTAAAGCCCGGAGGGCGGCGCAGGTAGACCTGCTCGTGTAGGCTGCCCTGAAGGAAGGCAGTGGAGAAGTCGAGGGAGTGAAGCTCGTAGTCACGCTGAGCAGCTAGGTGTAACAGAACCCGAAGAGTAGTCATCTTCGGGGTCGGAGCGAAAGTCTGGAAGAAGTCCACCCCCTCGCGCTGACTGAAGCCTCTAGCCACATAGCGCGCCTTAAAGACAGGCGGCTCTCCAGGAGGGCGCTTCACCTTGAAGAGCCAGCGGCCATCGACTACGTTCACCCCAGGTGGGGGAACTGCGTCGACGAAGGTGCCGGTGGATCTCCAAGATGCCATCTCCTGCTCCATGGCAGCTATCCACTGCGAGGCCCAGGGTCCCGAAGTCGCCTCAGCGTAAGTGCGAGGGGTCGGGATGTCAAGAGCGTCTGGGTCACCCTCAGGGACTAGCAGCATGGAACAGAGATGGGGAGCAGCCTCGGAGAGGAAAGCAAGCTCGAACAGGCGGTCCTCCAGGACGTCACTGCCAAGGGCAGGAGCACCCCCGACAGACGGAGGACAGGCAGGGTCAGAGACCAGAGCGGTGGCGTAGTCAAGGCGGCGGGTAGAGGCGAAGTCAGCGACAGCAGCGACAAGAGCGTCAAGGCACGAGACTGGAACAGTCGGGTCGGTAACGAGAGAGGCAAGGACCCGAGGAACGAGAGGACGAGCGGCACGAAGGTAGTCGGACAGCGGGGGGGGCGCAACAACAAGGGAGGAAGGAGGAGGCGACGGCAGAAGGGGAGGACGAGACGCGTGTGAACGAAGCAACATAGGGTGGGAGCGCAGGACAGGCGAGGCAGGACGAGCACGGGAGGGACGGTGAGACCAGACGTGCGATGGAGGAGTCGGGTCAGGAGACAGGGGAGGGGACACAGGAGGGGAACGAGGGGGGAGACGGGCCGGGGACGAGGCCGGCGTAGGGAAAACAGAGCCGTAGACAGGAAGAGGAGGAGACGGTCGGGGAGGAACCGACGCAGGGTCGGGGGACGGAAGGCCGAGCAGGCGAAGGGCGGACACCGGCGGGGACTGCTGCTGCGCCGGCACAACGGCGACACCTGGACCGCAAGCTGCTCCTCGGCGACCACCGGCACTCTCCACACCCGCACCCCCAGAGGGACCACCCTCAGGGCGACCGGGACGAGCACCCCCAGAGTCAGCGAACGGGGGCTGCGACGGCGGCGGCGGCGGCGACGGCTGCAGTGGCGGCAGAGGAGGGGACTGGGGAGGGGACACCTGGGGAGGGGCGGCCGGCGAGGACTGCACCGGAGGGCCACCAGAGTCAGAAGACTCCTCAACCGGGTCCACGGACGGAAGGGGGGTGACGTGGGAGACACCAGAGGGGGCGGGACGGGGAGGAGGAGGAGGAGGGGCAGGGACTACCGGGGAAGGGGTGACCAGGAACAGGGGGGGGGTAACCGGGGGACCACGGTGGGGGAAGCGGCGGTAATAGGAGACGGACTCGTCAAAGGTGACGTCACGAGAGTGAAAGAAGCGGTGAGACGGCGGGTGGTAAAAGTGCCAGTCGGACGCGTCAAGGGGAAAACCGAGGAAGACGCAGGGAAGGGTGCGGGCAGTGAGCTTGTCCGTGCCGGAGGCACGGACGTGAGCAAGGCAGCCCCAGACGTGGAACGCAGACGCGTCACCAGGAGACCCAGTCCACAGACGGGTCGGCGAAACCTGCGGCTGCTGAGGGTGCGGCCACAGGTTAAGCTGGTGAGAAGCGTAGCGCACAGCGAACGGCCACAGAAAATGGGGTGCACCGGCATGGACCATGGAGGTGCGAGCGACCTCCATGACCAAGCCGATGCGTCGCTCAGCGACCCCATTCTGCTGTGGGGAGTCCGGTAGGGTGAACGTCTGGGTGATGCCCTCCGCACGACAAAAGCGACCAAGGACACCTGAGGCAAACTCGCCACCACGGTCTGAGTGAAGACGCAAGACAGGGAGACCGCGGTGGACACGCGCAGAGACAAGCCAGGGGATGAGGGCGCCAGGCACGTCGGCCTTGCGCTCCAGGGGAAAGACTGTGGTGTAACGAGTGAAGTCGTCGACAAGCACAAGGAAGTAGCGCTCGCGACGCAGCCCAGGGACGGGGGCGGGGCCCCAGACGTCCAGGTGCAGGGTCTGCAGCGGCGCGGCGGTAGGGGGGAACGAGGAGGAGTGAGGGGCACGGCGAAGCCGACCCTCGACACAAGGCGTGCAAGGTGGAGCTGGGGAGGAGGGAAACGCGGGGAGTGAACCTGGGAGACCAAGGACAAGACCGTGCTGGGACATGTGACGCAGACGCGGGAGCGCAGGGTGACCTAGGCGGTGGTGCCACAGGAGGGTCGGGTGAGTGAGGGAGCGACAGGAGCAGGCAGCAGCAACCTGGGTAGACACAGCCACCTGAGGGGGCGCTCCAGCCGGGGGGGGCACAGTGTCCAGAGTGAACAGGCCGGACACCGGGTCCCGGGGGAACGTGGACAGGGGGGCACCAGTGGCGGCCTCGGTACAGACAGCATACCGCTCGTGACCAGGGAACGTAGTGGTGACGCCAAGGTCCCGGAGGCAGCCGACACCAACTAGGTTCCTGGAGAACGAGGGGATATGCAGACCTGTAAGAGAGCCCGAAGGAACCGCCGGACAGGGAAGGGTGGTGGAACTGCGGGCGACTACCGGACCGCCGGAGGGGTCAGCAAGAGAAACGGCAGCAGGAACAGGAAGCGGCGTCAGGGTGGTGGAGTCGCGGAAGAAACACCGAGAGGCGCCAGAGTCCAAGGTGAAGGAAAGCGAAGCCGAGGGGTCTGGCGACGGAACGACGGCAGAAGCACCAAGACTACACAAAGCAGGGGATCCTACGCCTGACGCAGCAGGGGAGGCGAAGCTAGGCACACCTACACTAGGCAACAGTGAGTAATAAGTCGGAAGCACACTAGAGTCATCAGCATACATCACATGCAGAGCAGAAACAATGGCATCCATGTCCATATCAAAGATCTGAATCTGACGACTAAGCAAACTGTGCCAGTCCGGGAGGTCTGGCGACGGGCCGAAACGCTGACGAAAGAGGTCGTCCAGGCGACGAAAGCAGCGGGGAGTGGAGTGACCGATCTTACCGCAAACGAAGCCGCGGCGAGGACCGGTCTGGATCTGGTACTGACAACGCCCGCCGGCAGAGCCACCACGTGGCACACCACCACGCGCCCGTCCACCGCCAGCGCCGGGCCACCCTGGCGGGAGAACACTCGTCTGCCGCGTCTGCGACGGCTGCTGCGGCTGCTGCGAAGGCTGCGACTGCGGCGGCTGCTGCGGCTGCTGCGGCTGCTGCAACTGCAGGGGCGGCGACTCAGCTGGACTGGGCAGGGTCCCCTCGTCCGCTCCAGCACCAGGCGACCCGACCCCACCACTACCCCCGCCCGCACCCCCGCCGCCCCCTCCGCCGCGCCCAGCCTTGGGGCGGCGGCCCTTCCCACAACGGGCCT